CCAGCCTTGGCCACCGGCTCTTTCATGATGGCAAATAACAGGCAAGGCTCAGCTCATGCTTCTTTTTTTTTTTTTTTTTAAACATTTATTCATTTCTGAGAGACAGAGCACGAGTCGGGGAGGGGCACAGAGAGAGGGAGACACAGAATCTGAAGCAAGCTCCAGACTCTGAGCTGTCAGCACAGAGCCCAACGTGGGGCTCAAACCCAAGAACTGTGAGATCATGACCTGAGCCGAAGTTGGACGCTTAACAGACTGAGCCACGCAGGTGCCCCATCAGCTCATGCCTCTTATACCCAGGGCACAACTAGTCCTAAGAGTCTCTGAGCCTCCTGATCCTTCTATTAAGCCTCACAGATCATCAGGAACTCACTGGGTAAATTCGCGGGAGCAGGGCCCCCTTCCAGCCCCAGACCCCACCAGTTCAAATGACCCCTTTTCTGGGGAAATACTGTTGTAGAGCTGGCAGACATGTTCCCAAACCCAACCTACTGAGCTGGGGTGCTACCTGAGGACCAATGCCATGGAAGAGACCTCTGCCAAGGGAGAGAATTGGTTATAGCTGACACCAAACTAGCCTCCAAAGACATTACAGGAGGGGCACAGGAGCCTGGGGTGGGGGTGCTGTGCAGGAGCAGGTGGGGCTTTGGGGATGGTGGGGACTTGAGCACCTGAGTGCTCTCAGGCAGGGTCACCTGCCCTCCCGCCTTCCCTCAGGCCATCTGGGCTCTCCCCTGTCCCTTACTCACCTCTTCCAGAAGCTTCACTTGCCAACCCACCCCACACGGGCAGTCTTCAGCCCTCAAGTCTATCCCTCTCCTGACAGTTCCCCCATCTTGAGTTAAACAGGTTCTCGTGTTTCTTTGTCTCCCTGACTACAGCGTGAGCGCCTGGGGGAAGGGAGTTTACTGTGTGTTTGTTTCCTCCCTCTCCCCTCAGTCCAGGACTCTGACGGCAGGGAGAGGTCACACTCAGCCTTGTTGGCTCTCTCGGGGCCTCCAGTTTTGGGGGGCACTGGCTGTCCCTCCAGTTGAATCATGTATGCTCCATGCCAAACTTTGCAAACATAACTAAAGACAAGTAGTCTCATGCCCCTCCAGCGGCCAGAATGAGCCTGACGCTCCCTCTTTACCCATCTCTGAATAACACCCAAAGCCCTTCCTCAGGCTTGGGAGGCTATGTGCCAGGTGACCCCTGCTCTTCCCCAGCCTCTCTTCCTTCTGCAGGCACACAGCCTCTCACTGCCCCGGGGGCACGGACACTCCTGCCTCAGAGCCTGCATGCTTGCTTGCCTTTCCCTCTCCCTGGAATGCTTTTCCATGGGTGGCTGGCCTCATGGATGCATTCAGGGCCCTGCTCAGAGACAGCTTTCCTCCCTCACCTTTTCTAAAATAGCCACCCCTGAGGCGCCTGGGCGGCTCAGTCTGTGGAGTGTGGGACTCAGGCTCAGGTCATGATCTCGCGGTCTGGTTCGTGGGTTCGAGCCCTGCATCAGGCCCACTGCTGTCGGCCTAGAGTCCGCTTCAGATCTCCACCTCTCTGTCCCTCCCACGCTCATGCGTGCACACTCTCAAAAATAAACAAAACGTGACCCCTTCAGCACCTAGGTCCTCTCATTTGCTCCTCCAGATCCACTCACTCCCACCTTCACCTTGCGCTGTGCCCTGGGAGGCTGGCCCTCTGGCTTCCAGCTTCCATTGGGCAGAGAATGGGCAGGACACTGGAAGTTTGGAGGGAGGAGGCTGGGGTCAGGCTATTAATTTCCCAGCTGGCTCCTTCCCTGCAGGGTTGCTGTGTGTGACCTGGCACCTCAATGACCTAAGGCCTCGGCTCTTGGCAGAAAGTGCCCACACAGGCCTCTCTCCGGGTTCTGGTAGCTGCTCCCCCCACCCCCCATCCCTGTCATCCAGGAAGTACACCCAGGCTAGTGGCGCCCTACCCTCTGCCCACACTGTTGGAGGTAATCCCTTTATTACATCTTCTTTAAATCACCCAAAGTACACTCTCGCTTTCCCTGCAGGCCCCCACTTCACCACCGGACATTACATGCCTCTTGTTTGTGGGCTGTCTGTCCCACAACTGGACCACGATGTCAGAGGAGGTAACGGCTTTACTCTGTGCTGTATCCCAACGTGTGGCTCAGCCCCCGCACGCGGTAAGTAGCTCCGTTAAAGTCTGCTGAACGAATGAATGAGGAAGGGAAGGATCAATATAATCCGGAGAGAGGATATGGAGACTGGAAGGACAGGTAAGATTTTAGGAGGTGGGAGGCAGGAAGCACATAAATGAAGGCCCAGGGGGCAGCGGTGATGAGAATGGCCTTCCCCCTTCAAGGCATAAAGACCCCCATTAGGTCCTTCTCCACTTTTCTCCACAATCTCTAATGCGATGGGTTTTGTGTCGCTGGAATGAATGCCCTGGGAGCAGGGGTCATGCCTGTCTTGTTTACTGTGGAATCCTTTGAGCCTGGCAGTCTCTGGCCTACACCCAAGGCACTAGGTCCGCCTTTGTTGAATAAATGAAAGCGATACTCGTTATCCAAAAGAAACAATGAACTGACACTGGACCTGGGAAGCCAGATCGGGCAGGCTGGGCTTGGGGTAAGGAGCGGGGTACGGAAGAACTACAAGGCGTCCTGCAGGGAGGGGAAGGGCTTGTAGGAAGACGGGCCTTCAGGGGACGCAGGCTGGGGGAGAGCAGGGAGGTGCAGCATCAGACTGGCCAGGCGGGGAAGGGGTGGCAGAATTTGGTGACCGACCGGATGCAGAGGAAGAGTGAAAGCTCCAGAGTGTTTAGCCGGGTGACTGGCAGGATGGATCGATGCTGTGAAGCCTGCCGTCGTGGCCCAAGGCAAACACTAAAGGGCCAGGTGCTCTTGGCCTGTTTCTAACTTCCTGCGGAAGTGGGAAAACTGGGGAGCGGATGCGGTTTGAGGGGACACTGAATCAAATGCAATCTGTGTGGCATTGGGAGTACGGTCAGACAGCTCCGTGGAGAGCGAGCTACAGACAGAAGATGCTGAGGACCCCTGGGGGTATCAGCTGGAGGTGGAGGAGTAGATGAGCCACCTCCTTGTGAAAGCAGAGGACCGTTTGGGACCGTCCATAGCTGGGTGGGTCGGGAGGAAGAGCCGGCAAAGAAAAGGGAAACTCGGAGGCAGACTAACAAGGAAAGGACAGCGATGTCATGGAAGCCAAGGGGACAACTCTGAAGGAAGGGGCAGCCAACAAGGTCACACATCAAGGGCGAACGCTGGGTTAGACTTCACTGAGGGCCCCATCCTAGAAGAGCAGCTGACTGATGGCCTCTGGCCTGGCTGGGAGAGCCCAGGGTGCCAAGTCAGGTGGCCTCCATGTTCGGGAAGCGTTTGCTGCCTGTCTCACCAAGGCATTCCCCGGCACACGGCCTCGGCCTCATCTGTGGCAGATTGCCACTTGTCCTCCAAATGCATTCCTTTGTTCTCTCCAGGGGGGCATAGCTCCCATATATTACCCAGCCGCTCCGCTGACACCCACATTTCCTCACTTCCCTTGCAGTTCGGTGGGGCCATTGACTAGGATGGGGCAGCTTCTGGGTGTTGAGTTCTCCTTTACATACACCTCCTGTCGCCTCCTTCCCCCAGGCTGCAATGCACACCCAGCAGACAGGGTGGCAACGGCCTTCCATCACGTGGGTGTGAACGTCACCTGAGGTGATGGAGGAGCCAGGACAGAAGGACACGATGCCATCAGGCCATCAAGCCAGACTGCACCCACCTACTCAGGCTTTCATAGAAGGCATACTTTTCTGTCTTACACCACTGTATTTGCGGATTTTTTTTAAGAGCAGCCCAACTCATATTGGAACACATCATTTAATCCAGTAGAAATACCACCTTAGATCACACCAAAAGTTTGATCAGGGCCATGAAAGATGCCACAGGCACTTCCCCCT